AGGTCAGCCTCGCGAGGCGGAGATTAAGCCCGAGATTGCGTTCGGATGTCGCCTGCTTCATTTCGCCGAAGGCATTGTAATCGTCCGGCCGACATACCTGAGATTCTCGACGAGTAATCGCGAATGCATTCCACGTGATAAACCGACTACCGGTTGGAAACTGTCGTACCGCGCGCTCGCGTAATTTTAATTAAAGAGCTCGGAGGGCTGGCGCAACATCGTCCTGCCTTTTTCGACAAAGAACCCGGCCTCTCTGACGCTACGGCGAAACGAACGTGGGGCGAGAGGAAGGACGGTGTGGGCCTGGTCTTTGCTAGGAACGAAGGAGCACAGACTTCGCACGTTGTAAAGCTCTTCTCTCCCGTGTACCACTTCCGCGTTCCTCCCTTGCTCCCGCACCTTCTCTAAGCGCGACCGCCACCCTTGTCACCCCCTCTGACGACCTCTCCCTCCCTCTCATCCTCCCCCTCTTGCATCCTTCGCTTCCTTCATCATCGTGAACGGAGCGCGCGCGCGCGCGCCTACCTGCCAAAGACGATGGGCGCTCTGCTGCGTTACGTCACCGACTGCGAATCAAAATCTTATTAACTGCTGAAAGTGAGTTTCACTTCAAAGTGGAATTTAATTACATTCGCGCCTGCCTACCCACCGCGCGTCCACCCGTTTCCTTATCTCACCCGATCGCCCCCTCGGTTTGCTCTGTCTTCTCTCTTTCGCTCTCCTTTTACCCCTCCAGAGCTCCGGTCCGCCTTGCTTCTCCGTTTTCTTCGATCACTTTCCCGCTCGTTGCTACTCCTTCCACCCTCTTCCACTCCCCCTTGCTCGCCGACGCATCGCGCGAGGGGTCTTTGCTCTTGAACGAAAATATTTAAATTTCGCCGCCTCGTCCAGCGGAAATTATTGCTCTCACCGGTTCGTCCGACGGCAACTCCGCAGCCACTTTCCGTCCGCTATTCAGGCAGTTATCCCCGTCCGAATTACATCGCCCGTAGCCGTCCGCGCTGTTTACAGCGCGAGCGGATATTCAAATGCCGTCGCGATTATATCCTTCCGCCTAGACGTAGAGTCGTGCATCATCCGCGGAGGTCGGAACGAACTCTCTGTCTCTTTTTTTTTTCTTTCTTTCTCGTAATGCCCTGGCCGGGGCAATTGCCTCTTTTCCTTTGAGATATCCCGCCATCCCTCCCTTTTGCTGCCTTATCTCGTGATTAATTTCGCGGAGTCCGTTCGCCCGTCCCCCTTCCCCCCCTCCCAATTCCGCCTGCCTCCTTTGGCAACCAGGTGCTGCGAAGAGTCCCTTTGCTCGCGCTTCATCGTTCGATGGAAACGCCTGAAGACGCCACGGAATATGAGCTTTGCGAATCTCTCTCTCTCTCTCTCTCTCTCTCTCTCTGTCAGATACCGATGTACAGCGCGCTCTGAAATGCTCATCCTTTTAATCTATGAATTGTTTGGCCGTTTTGCAACTGATTTCCCTTTAACGAAATGTTAAGTGATGCGGATCGTGAAATGTCAATGAATTCTTTAGCTGCACACAACAAAAGTGCGTGTTCAAAAATCAAACTCAGCAGTTGCAAATGGATAAAAGAGAGGCAGGATGGATATTTGGTATTCTCGGTTGCAAATTATTTACGATGTTTGATTGGATGAATATTTTTAATTGCAGATTCTCGTTCTGTCAAAGACTGTTATTCGGCTGTTTGCATCGATATTTCTTCTGGTATGAAATAAAAATAAATGTTATGGGTTAATGAATAATCCCTTCATGTTACGATTATTGATCAAACGATGATGGACTATACGTCTATTACGTTTATTACGACTTGGACGTAAATTCTTGATTGCCACTCGGGATATCTCTTTGTCCTCTCGACGAACTCATCAAAGATTCGTTCAAATAAATAACTTGGCGTACGTAGAAGTGGATATATCATTGCCTGCGTCCCAGTTTCCCGATTCAGCATCACGCAGGTCTGGCACTGACGCTCGCGAAAATACAAACCGATCGGAGAAACACGTGCTAACTAAAGTGATACTGACGAAAGTTCGATTAAATATTTTAGTAATCGACAAAACATTTCAGGTCCCTCGACGGCAGTTTTATACTGAAAAAAAATTTGATAATGACCATCAAGCCTATGATAACAATTACCAGATGCTTTGGTGAAATAGTTTTAACTAGATAAGTATATAATTATATGATTTGATAAATATTAATAAGTAACCGCAACAATACTTGACGTCTGTTGCTAACATTTGGCAAATATTATCAATTTATGGTGCACTGAGAAAAATTTCTGGTAATAATTATCCAGCCTGTGTTGTAGTTACTCAATTATTTAGTGAAATAGTGTCAACTAAATATAGAGGTGAATATGACCAAATCATTTGGTAACTATGAATCAAGAATCATGGTAATTGTTACCAAGGCTTGATTATAATTACGCAAAGTATGGTAATAATGACCAAAATTGTCATATTAAAAATATTTGCAAATATCGTAATAATGCTTGATTCCAACTATGACAATATGAGGAGGACGTACTAGGATCGCGACGGTCGGGACCTGCGTCTTTTTTTTGTTCCGGTGAGAGAAAAATGTCGAAAGCGCGGTTTGCTAGGCCGGCAATCGAATCTGGATCTTTTAGTTGCCGGGCGACTGCTTTAACCATTGAGCTAACTGATGCTTCATACTCACGACACTTTCCTTTCCCAAGATAACATTCAGAGATGCCGTTCAAGTTGGTAATTATTACGTTATTTGATATTAACTATTACTAATGTATTTAATACTATTTATTAAATCATTTAATTGATTTGACTAGATCAAAAATTTATGTTACTAACTATTTTGTAATTATTACCACACATTTGGTAACATTTACCATATTGGTAATTATTTACCAAATAGTATGCTAAAACACACAACCAAATGGCTGTGGTAACTATTACCAGACTTTTTTTCAATGTAGTAATTATCATTAAACAATTTGTTAAATAGAACCGTACTATTTAGTGTTACTTATCACATTATATGATAAATACATAATACAAACCCAACACTCAACTAAATGCTTTGATAATAATCAAACTATTATATATTTATTATATAAATATATATTAATATATAATAATTCAGTAATTATTACTAAATTATTCGATATTATTTACCGAATCACTCAATTGGCTCAATTAAATGAAGAATTCATCTTATTAAGAATTCATCTTATTTTATAGTTATTACCAGATGATTGCTAACTACTATCGTATTTGATACTAATTACCAAATATTGCACTGAGATACTCAACCAAATGCATTTGTCAATTATTACAAAATCTTTTTTCAGTATCAACGCGCCGATAATATTGTGCGTCGACTTGAGACATAATAAATCCGTCACGGAGAAGTGCACGACGTGCACGACGTGAGAGAACCAAAACAACTGATATTTGGGAAAAGGACAGAGTCACTTGTCGTCAATTGCGAACCGTTGTCGCCGGCCAATTAATGACGAGCGCATATTCAGTGACCCAGAAATCACGGTCATCAACGCTCTCAAGAGATTCCAGATCTTCGAGGTGGTCGAATTTTGAAACTGTCAAATTATCGGGACGGGTGCAGCCGCGCTACGCATTGGAAACATTTGTGGCATTTGCGGCATTCAACGTTCGTCGACGGTTAATGTGCGATCATTAGTCATTTCCGATCGACTTGTGTGACATCGTTGAATATCTTGCCACGATGACGACAGAAGCTAACTTCAGAAAGATTATAGAGGATATAGCTGCATTCGGCAAGGATTACAATTATAAAATAGGATTACAATCTTATTTTAATTTCATCTCTTCGAATATCCAGATTCAATCGAAACTTTTAACGCCAATAAAGGATTATCATAGAAAAATCGTGAAAGAAGAAAATTTGTTTTATTTATCCATATCGACTTGTTAATCTTGAATGGATTATTGAACATTTGTTTGTCGAAATTCTTTCTTTTCGCACACTGAGAAGAAAAATATCTAAGAAATAAAAAAAATTTATTCAATGGACACTATAACATTTATATACTCACACTGTATAACATGTAAAATATATTTCTGGTATGAAAATATGCATTTTTTAAAAATCGTAACTTTTCACGAAAGCAATTATTTATTCAATTTAAAAAAGAAAATTTAGATTTAAGCATTATGAAAAATTAAATGCAGTTAAATTATTGGAACGAATATTAAAAAAGTTTAAAAAGTGTCTTCTGTTTTTTAAACCTCAACAAAAAGAAAGACAATAGCTTGTGCAATGTTATATCTCGAGATTCTCAATTGGTTCTTCAAAAGTTTTGACGAAATTTACAAGCTTGGTGTAGAGCTAAATTGTAGTAAGCTTGATTGTAGAGCTAAAAATTTCAATTCGACTTTGTTGTACATCATTATGCTCACGGATCGATTTTCGAGAGGTTAAAACTGCACGAATCGAATGGAGAGCTAATGCACGGCGCAGATGTAAAACGTTCGTGAAGCAAAGAGAGACGTGAATATCCTGGTATGTGGCTAAAGATTGCACAGATGCCCGTATTTTTATGGACAATGCGCCTATGCTTTTATCCCACGACATAAAAATATACGCGCATCCGCGTTACGGTACACTTAGCTCTACAGGGAATATGGTTTTCGTGCTTAATCCCTTAGAGACTGAAGCGCGCTATTTTTAAATTCTTTTATCGGCGATCCTTCAGCTTTTTACGACAGCGAATCGTTACGATACTGCGTACGTGTGCCCGACTGAACATTTCCAATTTTCGCTGAAGAATGCCGAATTAAAACGAAAAAGGCAGCATTCGAAAATGCTCTCATGCAATTGATGGGCGTTGGGCGTATCTCGCGAAGAAGATCGCGGTGAGAGAGAGAGACAAATTCCTTCGTACTTTATCCGTTGTTCGCACTCCCTGGTGTGATAATACCGGATACACCGTGCTTGGAAAAAATGGAAAATTCGGACTCACCTCTGCTGCTTCCGTCGGGTCCACGGAGGATGGTGCACTCCTCTATTGTGCCGAAGGCAGTGAACAACTGTCGGACATCGTCTTCAGTTTGTTGCTTGCTTAGCATTCCCACGAACAGCTTTCTGTCTGCGATGGCGCGTTCCGAAATAGAGGGAACAGAGAAAAAAAACAAAGAACAGCGTTAGTCAACTTTGCACGTGTGTTAAGCGTTGTAGGCGTTAAAGAGAAGATCTTGCGGCTAACACCGAGAACGACAAAGTTACACGGTTACACCAGCATCCACCATCCTAAAGGGGGGGGGGAAGATAAGGAGATAAAAGGGGGGTATATATAAATATATATGTGTATATATATGTATATATATAAATGTAACATATTCGTGTGTGCTCACGTATGGCATCTTTGACGCGTACGGTTGCACGTTTCATCACGTCAATATGTACATTTAAACAGCACTGGGAACCGCGCGTGTGTACGTCTGTGTACGTGTGTGTGTAATACGTATGCACGGCATACACGTGTCTTCGGTGCGGCAACAGTAACCACGAACAGTATCACGGAAACGATAATCATCATAATCAATAACGATGTAACATACGTGTATAACAGCAGAAACGGCATATTCTCCGTGGGGGGGACAGTGATGGAAAAACCGTGTAACAACAAAGACAAGGAAAATAAATCTAATCAATATTGGCCTGATGGTTATCTAGAAAACTGAAAACGAACGGGAATCAGGCGGGAGGTGTCGCGATGAAATCAGACAAGGCATCAAGCGATTCGTCGTGTAGCCGACACTTTCAACAACGGTGACCCGTGTCGAGTTAGCAATACTCTTGGCGATACTAGTGACTCTGACATCCCCACGGACACTCAAGCATAAAAAAACTGTCAGTTGTTTAAGTTGTACAGACGTGTGTACGCGGAAGAGAGGAAGTTTGGTTGGATTAATCAAATGCCTGATGAAATATGAACGAACTAGAAATTCCGGTTAAGTTTACCACAGTTCTGTTCGAGTTAATATGACTTCTGGTTAAGCAGAACTTGCAACTTTCAAGTTAACAATATTTCTGATTAACCAGACCTTGCAACTGTCCGAGTCAATCAGAATTTTACTTTATCTTAAACAGAGAATTTTGTTGAGAATTAACTTTAACCAAATCTTTGATTCGTTCATATTTCATCAGACATTTGGTGAATTCGACCAGACATTTTTCTCTGTGTACAATCGCGCACAGAAGAATTATCCGTGAATTTCGGAGTGAGTTTGTGAACTTATCTGTCTCGTTCAGTGGAGAGTTTTCCCATTGAAAAATGAATTCTCCCATTGGATAAGATGGAGAATTCACAAAACTCACTTGAAAAATTGCAGACAATCCTTCTGTCTGCAAGTGTATACACAGACAGAGATATAATAAGCCCAACACACATGAAGTTACGCCTTTCTTGCATTATGCATTTTTTACAGGAGACTCTAAAATAGTATGACTTCAACGTGAAGTTGAAGTCCATCTCGAGATGGATCACCGGCGCATAAAGTTTAACAATGAATGCTCACTAAATTTTGCAGCTATATCTAAGTCTTGCACGGGAAAGATGAATGAGAAGTAACGGGTAAACGCGCGAGACAATGTCTTCGGGTTGGAATATCTCTGGGGAGATCTTCGGGTGCGATCGAGAATCTTTTGTGATTGTAGCCCTTCGAAAAATATCGATTTCCGTTTCGCTTGTTTTCAAGTCGTGGAAGTGTACAGGCCAAAAAATTCTCTCAGTGATTCGATATCCGTCTCAAGGGTACTCTCAACTCTCTTTTCTCATAGTGTGTTTGTAGTATAAGCTGCGTCTGTACGCTGAAGCAAGAGAGAGAAAGAGAGGGAGAGAGAGAAAGAAAGAGAGATAAAGAAAGAGAAAGAAAGAGGAAGCAACGTGGAAATGATTTACATGCCGCGAATATAATTTTGATAAATAAATGTTTGTTTTCTCTTTCTTATTTTAGAAATATCTGCGCTTAGAAATAGATGCGTCCCGATGTATGTGTACATGTGTTACTTGTAGGTGTATCATTGCGTTATATCGAGAAAACGACACGATTATGGCGGTGCGAGACTCACAATCAGTAGGATTGCACGAAGAGAGAAAGAAAAAAAGAGAGAGAACGGTTTCAAATAAACTGGGATGTTCTCAGGATTGGAGCATGGTGGGTGGTTGTTGGAAGGGGTGGCTTGACTGTCAAGAAATAAAGGTGTCATAAACTGTCATATATATATATAGAATCAAATCTAAGTAATACAATAAGATAAATGTAGCTCACATCATAATCAGAAAATATGTACAGAGGTGATAAAAAACACACTGACAACGAACGAGACAACACATCCAACGAGCGAGCCACTATTGTATGGTCATAGCTGTAAAGAGCAGTATAATATATATATATGTAATATATAATATATATATATACGATATCAAAGATGGTCGTCCACACGAACGGATATAAGGTCAGATGGGGGTTTTGGAGTGTAAGACGACGGGACTTTGGACTTAGAAACGTACAATAAACTCGGCACTTTGGAGCAAAAGGGGTCGTTGCCATTGTACGGTCGGTAGACGCTCTAAGACCGCGATTCTTTCATGTATTCTGCATCGCGCTTGGTCCATTGTGCCGATCGGCGGTATTCTAAGAGCGTCCACGCACGTCCCGTCGTAACGAGGCATCGATAATAGTGTGATGTAACGGCGGTGCGCAATAAACAGAGCAAAAAACACGAACGACAGGTTTACGGCTACAGGTTTCAGTCACGCACGTGGGTACGCACAACACTGTCTATAATACCTTCTGGCATAAAACGATGCGTATCGTGCCGGATGAAACGGATGAGGAGTCGGCGAGAGAGAGAGAGAGAGAGAAAAAAAAGAGAGAAAGAAAAAAAGAGGGAGAGAGAAAGAGAGAGAGAAAGAGAGAGAGAGAGAGAGAGAGAGAGAGAGAGGGGGGGAGGGGGAGAGAGAGAGGGAGAGAGAGAGAGAATGAAAGAGAAAGAGAGAGAAAAAGTGAAAGAGAAAAAGAAAGAGAGAGGTAGTGCTTGAGACTGATATAGAGGAGCCCAACAGCAATCGCTTTCACGGCACGGATAAGCAGCGCTCGATCGCAAGAGCGTACAAATTATCACGATTCGTTCAATTTTCAGCTGAGAGCACCTCGAAAGCTGAATGCCAACAAGAAGATTTTAATTTGCGGATTTTTACGAGCCAATTGTGTTCCAGCCAATTATTCAATGCCAATCGTGGGATCCACGTAGATGCGTGCGCGAATCCTTCGTGATCTGCGCGCACGCATGGTCGACACGCAAAGAGCGAGACCTGATGAGTCGCGCGTATACGTGTGTATGCGTGTGCGAGTGTCGAAGCTCCGAGACGATTGTACGGAGACTCGAGACGTTTTTGGCGAGAGAATTTGGAAGAGTACCGTGCACTTGGTGCGAATTTAGCCTCCTCCTAGAGGGATGGACATGTACCGGCCACACTATAAGTCGGGCTAAGGGATGGTGTTTCGTGAGGGGACGCTGAGGGTACGGTGGTCCAAATACTAGCGAGCAGCAAAACGGACTTTGCGGCGGGCTGTGCTGGCTGAATCAGCGGTGATGGCGTGATTGGAAGGGGCAGGATACCCGTATTTTTTTCCTTATTCATTCTTTTTTTTTTCTTTTTTTTCTCATCTCTCTTTTCATCGAGGGGAAGTTCACTTTCTGCTGATTTGCGGAGAAGAAGAATAGAGGTATTGGAAGGAAGCTAGCTATCTCCTGGAAGTCGAAGTTACCTTCAGCGGCCGCCACCGGTGCCTCCTACTTCCAGAAGATGGCACAGGCGCTCCCGTCGTCCATCATGCACTCTGGAATACAGAACAGAAACAAAGAAATGGCATTGGACCCAAAATACACCATTCGTCGTCGTCGTCGTTGCCTACGTGAATCCTCGCGAGATTCAATTTGTTCTTAGACTCGCCCAATCGGGAAACGTACGGACGCGTTTCTTTCGCGCAGTCGTACGGTGCACAGGACATTGCTTTCGACCGGATCTCTCCTGCGTGACGGACATAAAAGACCTATCAGATTAAAAAAAAATATAAATACAGTTTATTATTATTAGTGGTAAGCATTTTTGAGATAGAGTGTCGATGCGAACACATCGACACGCTCGGCGAAACCATTTTTTTCGCAGGCCGTCAATTTGCGACTTTAACAAGGCCGCTTCTTGCCGCTTTTTACGCACTAGCGTTACGCTATGCGGCGCGATTCAAGCCCACTAGAATGGATATCGCGCTCGGTTATTGCTAAGCACCGAGCATGGATATTTTCGAGTTTAAGTGCAATTGCGCAATTAGATATCGCAATTACGGTAACTTAATTTTCATAACATAATACCGACTCATAAATATAATACTATCAGTTTAATGGACAATTACGATCGCAGGAATTAAACGATCGCGAGGCATAAGCGCCGTGCTAACAAGATTCGAAACTCATGTAATGCCGTTTGAAACGCCGGGACTTGTGTAATCTGTTCCCATAAGTAGCACAATACGCTGGTCTTTTGCCCTGATTGTTCGAAGTAGTAAGTTCGATTGTAGTAAGGGGATTGCGTCGAGAGTCGACTCAGCTTCGATTTTCCTCAAACATCTTGCACGAGTGTTCGCGTTACTGATGAATTTAGCAAGACACGACATTTTCCGAGGGCCAGACGCCACGACGATCTCAATATTCGCGAAAAAGACACCATCCGAGTTGAAATTTTGATCCATTTATCGCCTATTTTGATATTCTGAAGTTTACATCAACTTCCTTTGATTTCTGTTTATATACTGATATAATGTAAAAAATTTTGCGTTAAATTTAATACATTTCACATGTTCCAACTTATCCACTCTAATTTTTGTGTTGATTTAATATGAGAAGAGTATGTAAACAAATGACACAAATAATATGATGAAAATTAACACGAAAATGTAACACTTGGACATTATTGTGTCATTTTAAGAAACGGTGAATATAAACGTTGAATAGTCGATTTAACACAACGATAATATGTTAAATTAGCACATATGTCAAAAATTTATTACAAAAATTTCTGCACGGATCGATTTCCACATAAATACAAAATGTTTTCTACCGTATATTAAACACACATGAATCCTTGAGATGTTAGAACGTTGAGTCGAAAGTAGGGACAAAATTTCGGCTTGGGCGTGTTTTTTCCTGTTAGGTCCTGTCTCCGCTTTCGATCTACCGCATCCCCCACGTGAATGAGCTTAATGACACGTTTCGCGAGGATGTTATGGAGACGCAAAATTGGCGAGCCGAGTTAAAGGTCGTTGTCGCGCGGATGCTAGACGCGAGCTCATTCTAAGAGATGCCTCGACTCGCGCCTTCCAGCCGGGCTCTAGGGCACATTTAAGGATTTGTCTCGGGAAATTAGATTCTCGCCTGACTTGCAGCCTCGTTGCATCCCCGCTTTCCGCAGATTCTTCCCTTCCCCCCTCCCCTTCTCGACAATCCCCAACGTCTTCGCCCCTCCTCGGTTCCCTTCGGCGTATCAACGCCTCGCCGTTCCTCGTCGGAGAATATCCCGTCTGTCCTTAGCCCCGGGTACTTTTCACCGAGAGTTCGCTCCCATTGTCGCGTCAGGACACCGTGGGGACCAAGAATTGGACCTTTGTCGCCGGAGCTAAGTGTTAACGCGCCCTTCGTGTCCTCTTTCCCCCCGACTCCCCGGAGCGGAAGCGAAGGAGGAATTAACTCTCGGGAAATTATCCTCTCGCGCGCGCGCGCTGGACGGCGGGAACAAAGCGAGCGTTCTGTTTGACACGACGCGACTCGGCGCAAATGACACTCAAACCGCATTTATTCTGCTCGCGATAACGGCAGTCCTTCTCGATTGTCGCGAGTTTATCGCGGACGGCGTATTATTGCATGAAAAAGAAACGGCTGGCCTACATATAAATTTGGTTGTGCCAACCAGATTGAATAGTGAAATACGGAACAACTAATTATGTGGTCGCTACAATTGCTCAGCAATTGCTGAGTTACTGACATTGCAACAGTGGCGATATCTACACGGAAAAAAAGGTTTGGTTGAATTAACCAAATATCTGGTCGAATATGAACGATCCAGAAATTCCGATTGAAGTATTGAAGAATTCTGTTCTTTAAGTCAACCAAAAATCATGTTAACTTAAACAGAATTCGGGTTACTTCAATCGGAATATCTGGATCGTTCATATTCGACCAGATATTTGGTTAATTCAACCAAACCTTTTTTTCCGTGTAATTGTTCCAACCTAAGTGTATCCATAGTATTTTCTCAGAACACGTTTGTTGCAATCAAATAATTTCAACTTAGATTTCACGATAAAATGAGATCTACACAACGATATGAAGAAAAGAAAGAGACAATCGAATTAAGAAGAAACTGTCTAGACAGTCATTAGATTGAGATCCGTATTGTTAATTATCACCTGAAACTTGTCTCATGTGAGCTTTATTGATAGCCGTTACATGAAATTTACTTCAGGTAAGACATTTAGATTTAAATTTAAAGTTAGATATGAAGTTTTTCAGTTGAATCGCGAGTATAAAAATGTAATATCGCATATATTATATGATTCCAATAAAAAATCTCAAATCTAACTAAATTCTGGCGAGTACCTCCCATGGAACAAGAGAGTTTCTAGTAAGGAGTATTAATATGGACTTCAGCTTTTTACTCAGAGTTAGGTCCAAATGTTTCAGTTAAAATGCATGATAAACGTGACACTTGTACCTGTGATTCAACTGATAAGTTCTCCTCTAACTCTGAATTCAAATCTGAGTGTCTCACCTGAGGCAAGTTTCGAGTAACGACTATTAATCCTCCGCGTACAATGTCGGGTCTGCGAGATCTGAACGAATATTCGATCGCATACCAACCTTCGTGAAAGGTCCGGGAAAGTTTCAAAATAGCGCAAGTCTGCAGACTTTGACTTTACTCCACGCTACTATCTTACAACTGAGGCTTTTCTATATCTCTGGAAAGAAGATTTTCCAACAAAGTCGGGACGGTTCAAAGTTGCTCGGATTTGACAGACCTATTGCGCTGTGTGTCCCAAACAATACGATTGTACACGGAGAGTTAATATGGGTGAGAGAGAGAGAGGAGAGAGAGAGAGAGAAGGAGGGAGGGAGGGAGAGAGAGAGGGAGGGGGAGAGAGAGAGACTCGAGTGATACGTGCGCCAAAACAAAATCCTGCTACGGTGAATACTGCTCCCTAAACGAATATTACAGTAAATAAGGAGGTTCCGCGAGCGCGCCTTATAATTCTCTTGTCTCCCCATCGCGTTTTAAACACGCGCCAGCTCGGCGAATATTCTCGCGCGCGCGCACGCTCCACAAATTGAAACTGCTGCTTCAGATCCAGCCGTAAGTAAGTTCGCGCTCGCCCCGCGAACACCAGGCATCCGTCGTCCTCCCGTAAGAAGCACGAAGACAGAGACAGACTCTTATAAGCCGCGAGGATTTCTCTTGGACGGTTTAAGACCAGTCCGCGTCACGTCAGCCGATGCCGAACTCGACGGCGACGCGAAGAACGGCCGCGGGCTTCCCCTCCCCTTCCCCTCCCGATACTCCGGGATACCGCGTTTATCTACGGAGAGGGAGATGGTAGGGCGAGTGATGGGGCGAGGTGGGAGCGAGGTGGCTCGCCGAGGGATCGAAACTTATCTACTTGCTCAACTAGCTCCGGTACAGCACCCACCCTTATCCAGTCGTAGAAACTTCGGTCGCCCCTGAGTCGGCGGGCCAACTTCCGCGCGAGATACGCATTTCTCAAATCTGTTCTCGTCGCTGTAAACTTAATTCCGGGACTGCTTCGACGCTACTATCGCGTGGCAGGCGGCGGCGTCGGCGGCGGGGAGGGAGCAAGAGAGTGTCTTACCATCGACACGCGTGAAAAATGCGTCTCAGGACGAGGAGCTTCCGCGGAGATTCTCCTCGTTCGAGAGCGGCTCCCGTCAAGTTCCTTGAGTGAGTACGCGCGCGCGCGCGCGCACCAACCACCCCTCCCGATGATACACCACCGCCGATAAGGGTGCAAAGTGCGCGCGTAGTTGGCTCGCGCGCGAGAGAGTTACAATCGCGCAATCGTTCGCGGCCGTTGTTCGCGTTGTTTGCGCGCGCAATTCGGCTTGAATTCAGCCAGTAAAACGCCAGTAAATTGCGCAGATCAACGATAGAGTCAAATTCGATATGAAATATCCCTCGCGCGATTGTTTCTAATGGCTTGCGCGCGGACGGATTTATCGAGAGCGTGAACGCAAATGTTTCTCAGCACGATACCGTGATCGGGGCGTTTTAACGCCGCAACGTCTTCACAATTAAAGCCACGATTTATCCTTTGTACCGCTAACAGGACATTACTTCGCGAAGCCATTGCGCGGAGCTGCGAAGCGCCGATTGCCGGAGGAATCTATAAAATGATGTAATTAAGCCGCACGTCGGGATCTGTGCAGAATGCAGGCCCGTAAAGGGCAGTTATTAACGCGGAAAAAGCGGACGGGTCTCTCGAAACAATGAGAATCATGAGCGGCTATATCCTTTCCCTCGGTGGAGAAGCTTCCCGACATGGAAACTCCTTTCGAAAAAGTCACGTCGACATTGTCGACTGTGAAACGCGATATTTTTGTCGCGTGAGGCTGGCACAAAGTAGGAAAAGTGCGGGACGCACACAAGGGCCGAGGATCTGGTTCATTAGTCACAATTCGACATTGTGACTCGATTGGCTCCTAAAATTGGTTCCTGAAATCGGCTCCTAGATCAAGCTGGAAACGCTTAGATGTGATGGACGAGAGCGAGTCCGGGTATGGGTCGGAGTAAACCGAATCACCGCTGCGCATTCACGAGAAATCCGGGCCTAAATGGCCGAAATGCGTGTACCGCGATCGCTACTAAATGATAACCGTGTAATATCGTTAATTGCCAGATCGCGAGGTGCAGTCAAACACGGAAGGTTAGCAAAAGGTAAAACGGTGTGCTCTCTCTATCCGACATAGTTTAATTCCGATCGATGTTGATCCCGAAGCAGATTACACGCAACATTCGGCTCGGCAATTACGCAGTCGTGGATTTTCCGTGATCCGGTGCGTTATCCCGGCGAGTTACACGGCGTTATTAACATCCGTTTTGCGCCGAGAAATCCAATGAGTGTTGTGTCAACGACTACCACAGAGAATTGTAGAGATCGCATCGGAATAGTTGTTGAAGAATGAAGGGAGATCGATCGAGAGAGCGATACAAAGAGAGAGAGAGAGAGAGAGAGAGAGAATGAGATGCGAAGATGAAGTGGCGGGAACCATCTTGCACGAACGTACGCGGTGTAGGGTAGACACGGTGATGCCAATGAGGGAGAGGAGGCGACTCGACGGTGTCGCCGAAGTTCAGTAACCCCCTGATTGAACTCTGCGACTACGTGGATACAGCATCTACATAGGTATATCGCGCCACAGAAGCAGCAGCAGCAGCAGTACCAGCAACAGCACCAGCAGCAGTAGCAGCAGCCACGGCACCGTGCTCAGGATCACTCCTGCATCCGCGTCAAGCCGAGGCTTTGTGGGGCCACACGGAGGCAGGCGACCGGAGATTACAATGGCATCTCCTCCAGATTAGCATATGAATTACGATCCCCCTCATCTGCTCCCCTTTGCCGCCCCCGTGCCGTACCTTCTTCCACGTATCCCAGTCTAACGCCGCCCTGCGCATCTCCCCCGATCTCTTCCTTTCCGTCTCTCTCTCTCTCTCTCTCTTTCTCTCTCTCTCTCTCTCCCTCTCTCTCACCCTTCCTATGTTTGTCTATCTAGTGCGCTCGTATACGCGTACCACTGTCCTCCTTTATCTAGTTCTCCTTGCGCAGGAGTCTCCACAGCCCACCAGCTTCGAAGGCACGGAGGACTACCCGAAGGACTTCGGAGTAGTTGCCGGCTCGCCGGGAACGCTGTCCCCGGTGTGGCGTGGACTTTGCGAATGGTAACGAAGGGGCCCCGGCTCTTAGCCTTCGGGAATTCCCGGACGAGCTTCCCCCGCTATTTACATGCATCGGAAGCGACGCCGGGAGCTTCGGCGATGGCGCCCGCCGAACGGATGGAACGGTATCGATCGGTTACGACCCGCCTCCAAAGATAAATACCATATTTTTAATTAAATCGCGGCTGCCCGATGGCTGGTATATATTTGCCGAGGCGCTTTGTGGAAATTAATGCGCGGGGCCGAATCGAGCCCCGGCGGAAGATGGAAGAGAGCGTCCCGATTTTTGCGCGAGATACAGCTTTATGAGCGCGCCGCGCATCGCGCCCCCCGCGCCGGAGATCGTGTGTGTCTGCAAATAATAACCGGCCGAGTGGAATAGATCGGAAGGATTACAACTCTCACGCGAGCGGGAGGAAATACACGAAGGGAGCGCGCGCAGCAGAGGCGAGGCAGAAGCGACGACTCATTAAAAGCGATAGTCGATCGACAATTTGTCTCTCGATTATCTGGGCTCTCGTCATACGTACGCGCGGCTCTGCTATCCTACCGTGACGCGAAACTTATGACCTTCGGCGAGCGCGGCGATAAGGAGAACCGACATGACGGTTGGCGGCGGCAGCGCCACTGCCGCCAGCTGTGAAATTTCACGTAATTAATAAAATTGGGTCCCCCACAGCTGGACGGACTACACACGTAGCGGCACTCGCGGCAAGATACGAGTGGAAAGAGCCGCGCGCGCGACACTCTGTAGAAAACGAGCCGATGAATATCAGCGCAGCGTGCCGCGTTACATTTTTTATCGCGGAGTCTCTATCGCGCTGCTGACTATCGCGAGTATGAATTTTATACGACGAGCGCGTTATCGCGACTCGCTATTATTGCGCGTTATCTGTAGTTTATTACATAGTCGTCTTGTATGTACGCGATTGACACGAGATCGAAGTCGCGGAGTACTTTTTCCTCCTTTTTCCCTCCCACATGAAATTAAATTGTCTCATTGCACTCGTAGCGAGAGATGTGGTTTCTCAGTGGTTGTCGCGTCTTCCCGTATGTGTAATTCTCACCGCAGCGCGAATCCATTCGCGGTATCCTTCGGGGCTTTCGCGGGGAAACAAAAATTCTGGCGTTTTGCTTCGTCGTATCGACTCTTTGACTTGTACAGCGCGGAAATACTGCGGACAATAAGAAGAGAAAATGTTGCCTTGATAGCGTTAGATTTCCTTTTCCGGTGCTATTACTTGGAACTGAACTTGATATGTAACATACAGAGGGTCATCTAACGTTGGATTCTAAAGTATCTCTGTTGCTTTTTGGGTCGGAGAAAAATGTACAAGGAACACATTGTTTGGTTAAAAGAGTTGGCTGATCGTAATATCTTTCTTTTCCTAGCGTACAATTTATTCCTCACAAACAATTTCCTCTGATATAAAACACAATGGAGACATTCTAGAATCTAACGTTAGACGACTCACCGTGGCCGACTATTAATAGTCGTTGCTTGAAACTCGTTCCATATGAGATACTCAGACCTGAATTTAGAGATGGATTTGGGTTTTTTATTTGAATCATACATGTGACATTGCACTTGTAACCACGATTCGACTGAAGAACTCACCTCCAACTCTAAATTCCGATATGTATCTCATTTGTATCTCATCTTTCGTAAGTTTCAAGTAATGACACCCTTAATGCAAATCCCTGTATAGAATTTTCTCCACAGATTGTCAAGGATCACTGCCATCATTAAATTAGCGATAAATCTCATTTGAAATAGTCGAAATAGATAGAGAAATAGATATTGGATCGATTGTTTGTCCTCACCTCCGCGGTTTTCACTGTCCGCCGGCTTCACTTGAATAGGACGGTTCATCTGCAACAAATAAGTAAGAAAGACGCGTTAGTCGTTTCGCGAGACACAATCACCACACACATCATTCTTAAGACATCTCTAACATCAACGAACAATCGTGTATTTTGACGTCTTTCATTCTCGCGCAGAAGAGATAGGGACAGGAGTCGCGTAAGAAGGATGAGAGCCCACGCGACGAAGGGAGAGAGCGACGCGGGACGAAAATATCCAGTTTGCCGAGAAAAGCGGAAGTATCGTTATTTGTCCGGCATGTGTGCGCACGTCCTCCGTGTCACTTCGGTCCCGCTCAAACACCATCAGCGGTTGCGAGAGCTGCCTCTGCCGTTGACAGTTCCGGCTGTCAGAGCGTACGCGGGCTCGCGAGTAGAGCGGCGTAGAGGTAGGAGCGCGCCCGAGAAAGGACGGTGCGAAGAGCAGGAACCCGGGCTCTCATCCCCACGGTTGTGGGTTACGAAAGCACGGAACCTGCCACTCGTCCTTCGCGTACTGTCCCGGTAGAGGTCCTCTGGACCTCCGTTGCGGATGGGTCGGGATCCCAACGAACAAATAACATTGTTTATTTCTCGGACGGGTCGCACCGCCGCAGCGCGTTCCAGTTCGCTCCTGGGGGATGGGGATGCATGATTCATGACGTAGGGGACGCAGGACCGTACTTCGATCCCGCTGCCATGCCTCCTCAACTCTGTCTGTCTCGCACACTCGTGCACGCTCTCTCCTTTCTTCCGTCGACCGACCTCTCTTCTCGGTCTTGAACTCTTCGCCACAATGCAGCCCACTCTCTCCTCTCCCCTGCCCCTCCCGTCGTTTTCGCCACTTCCGTGTCTCTGTTGGCGCGAATGGCACTTCCAACAGTAGCATTATCCTACTGCTGGCCTTGCAGGTCCTTTCTCTCTGACCAATTTTCCTCCGAGGATCACTGCACCGCCGCAGACGCGAGAGAGAGCTGGCGGACCTGACGGCTTACCAGTTACACGATTTCGCCTTTCAAATATTTGCAATACGCGTATACGTGTACGCGCGGTAGTGTGATTGCACCTGGAGAAAAGGGTGATACGGGCGATATGAGCGAGCGGGGTTGTTCTGAGGTCAGTTGAAGAAGAATACAAACTTTCATCATACTCCCCAAATTCTTTGGAATGAAGTTTCGCTGGAAAGGTTGAGTGACCACACCGGATGGACTCCCCATTCTGAATTGTCGATCGAGTATTTTTACTCGAAATTGGAGAGTAAATCTGATACACATCATCCAGTTTAATAGCCTTAATATTTACTAAGTCCAAATTCAAACAAATTTCTCGATTACGGGTAATATGTGCACATATTCGTGCATCATGATTGTTGATTGTTTCGACGGAGCCGCTTCCTCGAAACGGTCAACAATTGTGATGCACAGATCTGTAGACATATCGCGCGTAATCGAGAGATTACGTTCGAAACTGGATCTGGTAAATGTTAAGGTTATTATACATATCGGATATGCTATACTCTACCGTTACAAAGATATATTTACTCTAATCGATTGAAACATTCCTTTATATCGAGTCAGAATCCATCCTAAGTTTGAAGGAGACATTTAATCTGGCGATTTCGAGTGTATTTTCAACGCTTCAAGTGAGAACACTGCTACTTTTCATTCGTTTTGAGTGAGTCTTACTGAGATAATTTAGATATTAAAGTCCGTATTAATAAGTTGCTATTTGAAACTTATTTCAGAAGATATTTCAGGAGATACAGATTTTTATTCAAAGTCAGACCTAAGTTTTTCAGTTAAATTATGATAAACGTAACATTTACTTTTACAGCAACATTTACAATTGCGATTCAATAGAAAATTTCTCATCTATCTTTGAATTGAAATCTGAATATCTCACTTGAGACGAGTTTCACGTAATGACTATTAATGCGGACCTTAGAGAGAATAATAAGCACAATGTTTTTTGCGCTACTATGTGCGTCGGTGATTTCGATGCTCGTTTTACGCGTCAAGAGTACAGAAACTGAAGAATATTCCGAAGAGTGACAGTTGTGCCCCGCAATGTGAGTTTTGCCTTCTGTTGTTGCGTCCATGAGAATGTGTCTTAGGAAAAACATATAATCATCATTTGTGTTGTGTTAACGCGAACATACGTGTCCGTTCGGAAAAGAAGGAGCAAGGAAGGAAATATGTAAGCGTACCCCAAACCGGCGAATCTGGTTCTTAGCGCAGACGTGTGTACCACTGGGCATTGCGACCATCTGTCTTTTCCAACTCGCCGTTTCTCTTTTTTCATTACATATACACCGTATGTTATAAGAATCATGTGGAGAGGTAAGGGGGAGGGGAAAAGGTGCGCGATACTGGATAGGGTGGAAACGTGCCCGGCAACCCCGAAACTTTTTCTGCGCGCATGTATGTCCGACGCGCGCGAGGAGCGAGGCAGCGGTGTGTGTTACGGTCGGGGTCAGTGCCACGACCACGTAGATATCATACAAGGTGTATGTACGTCAAATGAGCGAGCATGGGTTCCGGGTTCATGGAGTTCTCTCTCTTCGCCGAGATCGATACAGCGCCCGGCTGCCCACCGCGATGAGACCTATACATATCGCCATGGAAGAAATTTCCCAACGACACCCGCGTGCGTCGCCTCGTGATCGCCAAGTCACGGGGAGATGAGAGATTATGAGATATCGTCAGGATCTGAGCGAACGTACCTGGAAAACGCGAGATTGCGTATTTCCCCGATACACGGCCAATTAACGGCGTCTCCGCACTATCGATCAATCCAACGATATGCGACTGTATGCCGGGCGGTAATTACTCGTGTCTCCGTGAGAGTGAGAGAGAGAGAGAGAGAGAGAGAGAGAGAGAGAGAGAGAGAGAGAGAGAGGGGTCGCCATTTAACTCTTTAATATTTCATCGCGGCGGCTGAACGTCCGGTTGCGATTCCCGAGAATTGTGCGCGCGATGGACGACGGAAGGGAGAGAAGTAGCGCCAGTGACGACAAGCGGGCATAAGGGGGCACGACAGGAGAGCAAGGCAGGCAGGACAGCGCGAGGCAGAGAGGGCGAAAGAGGAAGATCGGGGTGGCGAGAGCGAGCGAGCGAACGAGTGAGGGAGGAAGGAACGGAAAGGAGGGGAGGAGAAGGTCACTTTAAGCACTGTCCGCTGGTCAGGAAATTAAACTTTGAGTCGAGAACTGGCCATTAGGCGTTTGTTGTTGCCGCGTTGTCAGGGGAACCCGGCGTCCGTATAGATACCGGAACTGAGATACGACGCTACGTCTCCCTCTTGTCTCTCCGGACGAGTTTAACGCTGAATGCATCGTGTAAATGTCACTTACGACCCGAGGGATCTGTACCAGTCAATAACGATCAGCGCGCGAGACTTCCGCACGGACCGACCGTGCTTCGGCGGTGAGACGTGCCGATTAACACGCCGGGCTATTAACTATCGCGTAACCTCGTTCTCGCGCGCGCTCGATGCTCGTAGTTACTCGTAGATTGGAGCGAGGTGACGTCAATTAGCAGTGAGTAGGGTTTGTCGCAGTGGCGAGACGCGCCGTCGCGTCTTCGGGAGACGTATCTCGGCTCTCTCGGCGCGCGTGATTAAAGGATTCATAAAGGTAACGTTAATCCAAATCGACGAGTCCCGATAACGTCATTTTCCCCGGCCCGAGTCTTCTTTCAGATTGCACCTTTTGCCTCCAGAGTGAAACAAGTATATAACTTGTCGTTGAAGGGAAAAGAATGACTGGTTCAGCTGAAAAGAACAAGTCTAAACTCTGTGTGGGATCTGATTTGGATATCAACAATTTATCCCAGATCCCATAATCAGGTTGATCCCAATCAGACTTTTGGTTTGTACAAGATGATGTTATCGAGTCTTAATTGTTAGCCTTTAAAGTGGTATTCCTGGAAAAGGTCTGTTTTTCTTTATTCAGTTGAATCAGGTTGCGTCTTTAAAGTGAAATAAATATATAACTTGACATTGAAGGAGAAGGAAACAAGTGGATCAGATGAAAAGAACAGGCCGCTATAACAGACTATTATAAAGGGCCGCTGATTGCCAGGCTACAATTGTATGACTCATTAGAAGCCGACAACGTTACTTTATACAAGATAACTGGTTGGGATCAAGCTGATCTGAACAACGGGATAACTTTCCAGTCGGGATTGTCAAGACTGAAAGAGGTGCAACGAAGAGAATCGTCGTTGCATCATAATCGAAAGCTGATACTTTTCGCGCGCTGCTTCTTGGCAACGACGCCCGTTGAATACATCGACGCGCGTTATCTCCACAAAGGAATTGTAGATTAAGGTTAACACGCAGTGGAACATCGCACGTGCGCCGCACGCATTATATGCAAAGTACGGACGGACGGAGACACTGTCGTCTGGTTCTTCAGGCTACCTCATGCATAAAAGTCGTTTTGGGCTCGCGATTAGCTCTCGTCCTTTTGCTACGCCGGAGGAAGCTGGATAATTAAGTACGTTTCCAGCGGGACGTCGCGCTTGAGCAGAGAGAGGGAGAGAGAAAGAGAGAGAGAGAGGGGGGAGGGGAGAAGTGAGACACGGAGAAAAAGCCGCACCTCTCTTTAACGATCGCGTTACGATCGAGCGTCGACCCTTTGGCAATTTGTGTCATCAGCCGCGTGCACTTGGAAAATCGATCCCCTTGAGAGGCACCGCTCAAGATGGATGGTAATAAGTAAATGTGTTTGCTGAGCCCCGAGCGCGCATCACGAGCAATTAATTAAGCTCGATTATCTATGTACACTACGGGAAAGTGCGCCTCCGCTACCAGCCGACACACCGGTAGATGCTGAATGATAGCCACGCGCGGGCGCCGCAAATGCGCCGAATGATAATGCCCACTACCGGTCGTGTTCACGTTTAATTTTATATCGCCGAATAATCGGCCGCAGGAATACCTTTCGCGTGATCTACGCGCTCTATTTCTTCCGCTTCTCTTTCTCTTTTTTTTCTGTTGTCGGGGTCAGACGAAAGGCGTAGGAGTCCA